CACACCTCCCATAGGTGTTATATCTTCAAAAATGATTTCTAGATTTTTGGGCTGTGGATTTGTTTCCACTCCCTGCTTCGAAAGCACAAGGTCCCGAGTTCCATCCTGGGTACCAAAGAACAACAAAAAATGATTTCTAAATTAAAAGAAACCCAAGGACCATGATTATGAAATACTTCTGGATTTGATGTATTCTGGACAAAACAGTTACAAAGAGATTTGGGGGTCAACTGGGAAAATTTGACTATTGTATGAATTTATTTGATGAGATGATTATTTACTGTACTGGAAGAGTGGAGATGTTTGACTGGAAAAGCAGGCTGCAAAAGAAAATATAAACCAGGTGTGTGCTTTCATCCCAGTACTCTGGAGGCTAAGACAGGAGGACTGCTGCAAGTTCAAGGCCAGCCTGGAGTATACAGTAAATTAAGGCCAGCCTGAACTCCTTAGTGAGACTCTGTTTCAAAAAACAATACAGAGAGAGAGAGAGAGAGAGAGAGATACTTGGGTATGGTAACATAAAAATTCTACTTTTTCTTTTTTTTGATTTTTGAAACAGGGTCTCATTATGTAGTTGAGACTGACCTGGAACTCACTATGTAGCCCAGGCTGGTCTCGAACTCACATTGATCCTCCTGCCTCAGCTTCCTGAGTGCTGGGATTACAGGTGTGTGCCACCACACCCGGCAAAAATTTTACTTTTTCAATGTGACTTGTCTTTATTTTTAAATTTTCTAAAATACATATGTATACTTCTGTAATAACAAAGGGTCTTTAAAAAAAAACCAAAAAACAAACTTTTTTCCCCTTTAGTACCAGGGATCAAACTCAGGAACTTGCATCTTTGAGGCAGGGGCAACCACTGAGTTAAATCCCTGGCCCATAAAGGGTTATTTTTAAAAGTAGGTGAGAAAAGGGCAGGCGATGTAGCTAAGTGATATAGTTACCTGCCTCACAAGTGCAAGGTCCTGAGTTCAATCCCTGGTACCAAAACAAACAAACAAAAAAAGTAGGTGAGAAAGAAAAAAGAAAGTAGGACTGTAAGACTTAAAGTCTCACTTCCACTCCGAGGAGCATGAACAGCCGAAAAGACCTTCACGATGCTGAGTCTTATAGCTCAGCGAGGCTCCAGGAGCTCAATGGAGGAATGAGACTCACCCAGAAAGGAACACACCAGGCTAGATGGTAAACAGACCTTTATTAGTCTGGCCAGACAGCACTCTCAGAACCAAGTAGCTGGCTCAGAGAGGCGCCAGCTCAGGGGCTGAGGTCCTCTTCATAGGGGAGTAAAAAGGGAAGTTAACATTCTGAGTTTGCAGGCAGGGAAGATTAACAGTCTGCTTATTTGAGCTGGTGGTCAGCAGTCACATACTCAGCAGTCACACATCGATGATTAACAGATACTTATAGGATGTTTCAAAGGCCACCAAGACATTCAGGATGAGCAAACAGTTCGACAATTAACTTGGGGTCTCTATGTACGGTACAGATTTATCTCATAGTCTAGAACCACTAATTTACAGGTTAATTTGGATCGGACTTCAAACAGTACAAGATTGCCTTACATTCCTAGGCCAGGGTTAGAACAAAGGTCGGGGTTATGGCTACAATGGGAGGGGGGTTAAAGCACTGTCTCCTAGGCCCTTTGTCATTTAGCACGGGCTTGTAATTCAGGTCTTACAGAACAACAGTAGAATTTTGAAATGTGACCAACAATTAGGTTTACAGAAATGAGACCCAGAAGTCCCAGATTCCTCCTCTGTACAAGTGGATGACAAATCAGTGCTAGAACTTCCTAGCGGTGAAGGTGATAGGGAAAATTTTAAAAGCGAAAACCTAGGAAATGTCACAATGTAAGATAACCTTGCCCTTTGCGTTTAGTTCAGCATGTAGTCTCTATAAGTTTTGTAAATGAAAAGAGCCATTGTTACCTTTATTGACCAAAAACCTCCCTTCCCTTGGTTAGAATAGAAAACCGTAAAGGTAACTTCCCCTAACAAAAAATGGCATTGAAATTCAACTGCCTCAGCACCAGATTTTAGGTATCAGCAATGTGAACTGTGAAAATGCAATGTAACCAACTGCGTAAGATCAAGGCTATAAAACCCTATGAAAGAAGGAGTTGTAACCCACTGGGGGAGTCGATCAGGGCTCTGCCAGTAGGTGAAATCGATCCCCATCGATGGAGTAAACTTTTTTATTTTACTTTCATTCCGCTGCCTCTCTGTGTGTCACTTGCCAATTCCTTCTGTAACATTGGCAAACAAGGAAAAGTGACAATTACACAGTTTACAGTATCCTTAGAATTAAGCCATTTAAATTAAACCAAGATCAAAAAAGAGGTAACAGATCTGGTTGTTAGAATAAATGTTTTGAGACTGGGGATTTGGCTCAGTAGTTCTGTCACCTGCCTTGTAAGTGACAGGGCCTGAGTTCCATCCCAGCACCCCTCTGCAAAAATATTTTGATTATAACCATGTTTCCCTGACAATAAGACCTCACTGGAAAATAATCAGCCTTGAAAACTAGAGATAAAATATTCCAGCCCCAATTGGGAGTGACAGCACAAATCTGGAATCCTAACACTCAGGAGGCTGAGGCAGGAGGATTAGTGCTAGTTCATCTTTTGTCTATTGTGAATAGTGCTGCTATGAACCTGGGTCTGCAAATACCTATTCAAGCCCCTGCTTTTATTTATTTTGGGTGTATACTCAGAAGTGGCATTGCTGGGAAATTTGGTAATTTAATTTTAAATTTTAAATTTTTTTTTTTTTTTTTTTTTTGGTACCAGGGATCAAACTCAAGCCCTTTTCACTTGCAAGGCAGGTAAGGTGCCACTGAGCTAAATCCCTGGCCCTCCATTTTTAAGTTTTTGAGGCAGTTCCTTTGGAATTGTAATGCTATGTAGGTCATTTCCATAAAGCTTCTGTTTCTTCGTCTGCACAGCATGGAATGGGGGAAAGCTAGGAGTAGTTCTCAGGGGCCTCCCTGCCCTGCAGTACCAGATTTGCTGGTTACCCAGGACACAAGATAGACTTGCTGCTGCCCTAAGTCCCTATGAGTGACATCAGCAGCAAAGCCCTTCTTCCCATCTACTTCTGCTAGATGTTGGGCCTGGTCTGCCCCGGGGGAGGAGGATGGAGCCGAGTGCTTCCAGGGAGCACAGATGGCAGGAGCACTGGGGGGCCTTTGTTCTCACCATCCCTCCCCAGCGATTTTCCTGTTACCTCATTTTCTCAGTTCACCTCTCTGTATCAGACCAGCGTGAAACGCAAAAATGCTTGAAATTTCTGTGCAGTAACTGCAGTAACCATCAATGAACTGTGCTGTCTTCAGTGTTGCCATGGAGATGGCTGAGATGAGACTCATGAAGACTGCCCCTTCCCTCCTCCCTGTACACCTCCACAGCTAAACAAGACTCCTTAGCAATCTGAGGAGAACTCTGCAGGCAAAATGATCTTTCTAGTAAGTCTCCCGAAACTCTGAGATGGTCCACTGACTCAGGCTTAGAATGGCATCCAAAGTCCAAAGTCCTTGTCAAGACCATGGGCCAGGGATTTAGCTCAGTGGTTCCGCCGCCTGGCTCGCAAGTGCAAGGACCTGAGTTCGATCCCTGGTACCAAAAAACAAAGTCCTTGTCAAGACCTACTAGGTCTTGCTTGATGCAGCCTCAGCCTACCTTCCTGGCCTCATGGGTGGCTGATTCAACTGCTGTGGATGTTCTGGCTATACTAAGCTTCTGGAAAGACCAAAATCAGATGCTTTCAAACCTCCAGGAGGCCAAGTGCATTTCAGCCTTACTCTCTATTCTTCCACTACTAAGTTCCTCACAGAAGACCTTGCCCATGATGTTCATCTTCCCAGAGGGCCTCAGTGCCAACCAAGATGCTCTCCCTGTGCACCCACAGTTGACTGCACCCTTCTGTTTCAGTCCTGTCCCCTCGCTATGGGTGGTGAAGAAAGTAAGCACCAAAGGGTATAGCCAAAGACTGCCTAGCTCCAGACCCCAAACAAGTCACTCATTAAATTCCATCACATGGAAAACTGCCTTCTTCCCTGCTAGGAGAATAGAGTGCTGGAGGGATGGGCACATGTTGTGCATGCTGCCTGGAACTTGGACCCACTGGCTTTCTCACCAGTCTGTGAGCTCAGCTGGACAAGGACTGCGTTTTCCACCATGATGGGTGCCCGCTAAATGAGGAGCTTTGTGTCATGTGTTCTGCTCCAATTGTCCCATTCATACCAAGGAGATTGGATGGAGATCATATAAGGGTGTAGGGTGTAAGACCCAAAGTCTCACCTTTACTCTGCGGAGTGTGAACAGCCAAAAAGACCTTCACGATGCTGAGTCCTATAGCTCAGCGAGGCCCCTGGAGCTTCGAGGAAAAGCGAGAGTCACCCAGGAAGGAACACAACAGGCTAGTTAGTAAACAGACCTTGAAGGAGGTTGAGACAATATAAGAAACCAAAGTCCAGCTGTCAGCTTACACTATCCCATGAAATAAGGTTTTGTAAACAGAACAGCCCTCAGGAATGTCGTGAACTCTGTGCTTGCAAACATGACAGATTACAGATTGCTCTAGACAGTCTTCTATTTTTTTTTCTTTCTTTCTTTTTTTTTTTTGGTTTTTTGAGACAGGGTCTCACTATGTAGTTGAGACTGACCTGGAATTCACTATGTAGCCCAGGCTGGTCTTGAACTCCCAGCAATCCTCCTGTCTCAGCCTCCTGTGTGTGCCACCTAGCTCAGCTCTTCTACACATTCTTTTTACAAGGACATATTAACCTCTTAAACTCTGTGCCTGCAAACAAGACAGAGTGCTCTTCTGAGTAAACAGGAAGGGCTGAAGTCCAGTTGCATGCTCTGGGCTTCTTGAGCATGAGTCATCAATCTCGTGAGACAGTTGGAATGTTCTGACAAACAGATAAAGTAGGAGAATTGTATTGTCAGTAGATGAGGGGGCTGCCCGAAAAGACTGTATAATAATAAACGTGACTGCAGTCTTGTCCTGTCTTTGTGTGTGTTGTTTCTGTCATTTCTTCCTCACAGATCTAAAAGGACCGCAACAAGTGGTGCCCAGAATGAGAAAGAAACCGAAAGGGTAAGTACACCTCTTAAGTTTTGTGGGACTTACTGAGGGACTTTCGGCAATAATGGGAAATTCCCCTTCCATACAAACGGAGTATGCTAAATTAATGAAGGGGCTATTACACTGCATAGGAGCTGAAGTAAAGGGGAAATTATTAGAAGAATTATTTATAAGGATTAAGAAACATTGTTACTGGTTTCAATGTCAATATAAAGCTCAGCTTAATTTGAGAGATTGGAAACAGGTTTTAAAAACCTTAAGACAAGTTCATCAAAGGGATGATTTGAAGTTATGGTCTTTGTGTAGTCAAATTACGCAAGCCTTAGAACTCTTGGAGACTGACTCCAAAAAAGGAGAAAAATCAGTGGTAGAACAAGAACATATTTATTTATGATCATGTGTCGGCCTTAATGAAATTAGAAACTCCCCCTGAAGAAGGGGTGCCTGAAGATGAGCCTGAGTCCCCAGAGGGAGGACGGATCGGAACTCGGCTCGGAGACTGAGGAGAGTCCAGTCTCACAACAATTACAAGAATTAATGAATATGATGCAAAACTTATTGGAGAAGGCTCGCTCTCCGTCTCCCAAGGTATTAAAGGATTGTTCGCCAACGGCTCCCCCTTATCCAGGGGTATATTCCATAGAGAAGACCCCCTTAAAAGATCCCTTGATCACTTCTCATGTGTGTGTGTGTGTGTGTGTGTGTGTGTGTGTGTGTGTGTGCTGCCACCTGATGGAGAAATGGGGAATGACCTCGCTTCTCGATCCCTCCCATTCTATTTTTCCTATAACTAGACAACAATTTGCCCCAAATGCTCAATTTCCTCAGGGCGGAATGAATATTAACTATACTCCTTTACAATACAAAATCTTGAAAGAATTGAAACAAGCTGTACAAAATTATGGACCACAATCTCCTTTCGTTTTGGGTCTTTTAGACTCCTATGGTAATGAAAATATCCTTTTGCCATTAGAATGGGAAAATCTGGGTAAGATGGCTTTAGAAGGTTCACAATGGTTACAGTTATGGAGCTGGTGGTGCGAGGAGGCTCAAATTCAAGCTAGGAAAAATGCGGGTATGAATGCCCCAGGCCCTACAGAAGATCAATTGATAGGTACTGGGGCTTATGCTACCATACAAGTCCAGGTTCCATTAGGAGATCCTGCTTTTACACAAGTGAGAAATATTTTTCTCAAGGCATGGAGGAAAATAGAGACAGCAGGAAAAGTGCCCTCTTCCTATGTAAAGACCATGGAAGGACCTAATGAGCCATATACAGACTTTTTATCTAGATTAAGAGAGGCAGTTATCTGTGGAATAGGAACCACGGACGCAGCTCAGATAGTTCTCCAACTTTTAGCTTTTGAAAATGCAAATGAAGACTAAACGAACCTTGCATCCACTGAAGGGTAGCGGCGCTACCGCAGATGAGTTCAAAAGGGCCTGTGCTGGTGTGGGCAGTGCTGGCTTTCAGGCTCAAGTTTTTGCCAGAGCCTTAGCTTCAGCTATGAAAGGGAGACAAACCTATTATAATTGTGGAAAACCAGGCCATATAAGAAGGGATTGTAGAAAAGTTAAAATGAAAGGAAACAGAAATAACAACAGTGAAGGCCACTCTGACCCAACTCTGTGCCCCTGTTGTCAGAAAGGCAATCATTGGGCCAATGAGTGCAGGTCTAAAAGGGATATTGATGGTAACCTCTTAGTGGTGCCTGGGAATTTGGGAAACCAACAGAGGGGCCCTGGACCCTGGGGCTCCCAAAACCAGAATACAGGGTCTCAAGCCTGCTAAAATACTTTGTGATGGACAATTAGCGAGTGTAGAGGCAGTTTCCAGCATAGGAATATGAAAATTTGAATCTGAATTGTTGCGAAACAAATCAGGAATTTGCATGGCACAGAAGAGAAAATTTAGCATGGACAATGTTTTGATCTTCTCATAAAATCATGAATCTCTTATGGATGGACTGGTGAACGTGCCCTTGTGCAAATTTGTCACTGTAGGAACATTACGGAGTACATACTTAAAACAGGATGCTTACCGTGTCATTATACCTTTTCTCTCGGTGAGGGACTACAGAGGGACCACCAACCTGGAGGAAGCTGCCCAGAAACTCACACTTTGTTTTGTTTTGTTTTTTTGGTACTGGGAATTGAACTCGGATCCTTGCGCTTGCAAGGCAGGCCACCGAACCACTGAGCTAAATCCCCAGCCCCTCACAGTCACTTTGGAAGGCCTCTAAAGTCCCATTTAATTCTGAAGTTTTTTGTTTTGTTTTTTGTACCTGGGAGCGAACTCAAGACCTTGTGTTTGCAAGGCAGGTGAGATGGCACTGAGCTAAATCCTCAACCCTCAATTCTGAAGTTTATAACTGCATGTGAAGTGGACACACCCTGGACATTGCATTCACTGATTCAGTGACCTCATGCTTGGGGTGAGTTGATGAGAAACAAGTAAAGTATAGAAGTATAAAACAACCTTAGACCTAGCCCAACTAACAGACAGATTTCTCCATAATAAGTACTAGCAATGGAAAAAAGTAAGACTTAGAGCCCAAGTACAGAAGCCACCCATATGTCCTTTGATGGATGAATTGCTACAAAAAGTATGGCACCTACCTATATACCGGGCTGTTACTTATCTCTTCAAAAGAAGGAAACTCTGAGACATAATGCACCAGTGATGGAAGCTGAAAGCATCATATGATGAAATCAGATACACAAAGAAACATGCCGTTTCAGTCCATTGGACTGCAAGGCACACGAGAAGTCGCTACCTGTCTACACATAAGGAAACAAAGGGTGATGGTTGTCACCAGGGGCTTGCAAGGCAGGCGTGGTGCCACTGAGCTACATCCCTGGCCCTCCCCCACCAGTTTTTAAGAAACATGCGGGCAAGTTCACTGCTTTATTATTTCAGCTTCAAAAACAAAGTGATTAATCATAATCCTTATGGTGTCATTTTCTAAAACTGACACTTTTACCTAATGCCCAATATCTTGGCAAGGTCAGATCACAGGCATCAGTTTTCTCCTTTCAGTCTGTGTTTACCGATTCGTCTTTTGGTACTGGGGATCAAACTCGGGTCCTTGCCCTTGCAAGGCAGGCAGTGGAACCACTGAGCTAGATCCCTGGCCCCTTACCGATTCATCTTTGACAATGTGTATGCATTCGTTGTGTGGTCTAGAAACTCTACAATTTCTTATTCATTTCCATCCTTCTAAAGCATCGCCAGGCATTTGCACCCTAGTAATGAGGAAAATGACTGCTAGCATTTCAGGTAACCGAACACGACACACTCTCCTTCCTGTCAGTTCTCGATCCTGTGGGGTAGAAGCTTGGGGCAGACTCCAGCTCCAGGATGCAGTTGAGAAACCCATTTCCAGACTGTAGCAGTTAGGAGACAAATGCAGACTACAGAGGCTCAAGGCTTCCTTGGTGCACATGGTAGCGCCTCCCTACTGATAGAGGAGGTGGAGATCTGCTCCCTTCTAAATCTGGCGGCGCTTAGACTTTTCGGGATCAGAGCCCAGGTAATCTTCTGGGGAACTTCCCTGTCTAGGCCGCGGCCTTCTGGGCTGGGGCTGCTGCGTCCTGCAAGCCGTTTGCCTCCGTGCATGCGCACTATTACTGCCCTGCCTGGCTCCTAACACAATTCAAGCGTACTCTGGTCGGTTCGCTGGGTTTGCTTCTGCTGATGTGAGCAAGAGCTGTGGTGCCTGAGGGCCTGGGGACATTCTCGGGGCAGCACTCGGAGGGCACTGGCTGTGCGGCCCAGGGTCCTCATGCTGGGTGGAGGCTCCAGTGGACCACAGCTTGAACGCAGAGTCGGCGGCAAAGACCCGGAGAGACCTAGGGGGATAGGCAGGAACTGTTGCGACCTGCAGCGACCTTGGTGCCCACTAGGTGCCCAGCCGACTGCCTGCGGTAAGGTGAGTCCTGCGGGGCAGATCCGGATTCCGAAACCGGGTCCTTGGGAGCCGCGGCCCGAGACTCTGCAGACTCAAAGCAGAGAGTCTGGTTTTGAGGCCTGGAGTGGATGGCGAGGGTGGGGAGGGTGCGGGTGGGAAGTAGGTGGTGGGAGGGCAGAGAAGCGTGAGCGAAGCTCCCAGGAGAGATGCCCTGTGGGGGAGCGCGGGAGGAGGTGCGCCATGAAGGGGGCATTCCTGGCCTCAGCCATAGACCTGTATCTGCACCCCAGAATCCCTTCCTCCTCCTCTCTCTCTGCTCCATGTTTCCCAAGGTGTCCGTAAACATCCATCAGCTCCTGTGCTCTCTGTCCGCTGTGTCCTCAGCTCGGCCTTTGTAGACTCACAGCCGCAATGGACAGATCTCTTGTTGCCTTGGTTGGGTAGTGAGCAGGTGAGTTTCCCTATGGGCTTCCTGATAGGATTCAGTCTCCCATGATACTGTTCTGTCCTCTGTATTTCAGTTCACATACAACAGTCACTTCTTAAAATCAGATAATTTAAAAACAAAACCATGCCTATGCTCGCGAATCCCACTTTTAAGAGCTGAAATTGTTAGGGACTTGACACTGCTGCCGTCACAGGCTGTATTTTTCTGGTTCTTCATGCCTCTTAAAATGACCTCATGCTCTTATCTTTAGTTTCCCTCCCGGCAAGGCCACAGAGTCCGGAGAAGTTAAACCTGTTTCTAAAGGACTGAACCCATAAAGGGCAGCCTAGCTAGCCTGTGATAGGTTAAAAGTAGCCCACTCCTCATAAATGAGCAATAGCCCAGCCCAAAACCAATCAAAGGACCTTCCTTTGTTCCTCTCTCTCCTTTTCTCTCCTTCACTCTTCTGTCTCTCTCTCCTGTCTCTCTTCTCCCTTCTTTCTTCCCTCTCTCCTCTCTCCCTAACCTGCTGTCCTGAATAAAATCTCCTGTCGGACCTCTCCGTGTGTGGTCTAGCTGTTGAGCTTTGCTGTGCCTCTACAGAAATTCTGAATTCATATGGCTTGTTTGATTTGTAAGCAGTTTGAAGAAAAAATAGTAAAATATATGCATAACTTAGCAGGGATTTTTCCCCTACCCTTTTATTTAATGGGGGCCAATTTAGAAATCAGACAATGTTTATATTTATTACTGAGGATCCAGTCGACCTAAACAAGGCATGATTGTGTTGGAATTACAAGGTGTGCCTCTCCCTTTTATCCATTTTGCCTCTGTAACTTTTCACAGGGTGTGATTTTATTTGGTGGCTCTGCTGCAGGAGATTTCTGCCATGCCTGCCAGATAACTCCTGACCTCAGTGACCTTTTCCTCCTCCCTAGAACCATCAACAGACATTTCCTTTCCCAAGAGCACCAAAAAACACACAGACCACAGGTGAGTTATCCTGTCTGTGTCTGTTTTTGCCCACGTTCCTCTGTAATATATTTTAGGAGGTTTCTAAAGATCTGTCTTGAAATGGAAATATAGAGGGCTGTGGATTTAGCTCAGTGGTTCCACTGCCTGCCTCACAAGCACAAGGACCCAAGTTTGATCACATACCAAAAAAAAAAAAGAAATGTAGAAGTGGGTAAACAGACATTATCATGTAAATGGTAGAGTGGTAGATCAACACTGACAGTCATTTCCAAAGGTATTTCCTTCTTTCTGCGCTACTAAACTTGAATCCAGGCCTTTCAAACTAAGCTCTATCTGGGCCACGGACTTGGCTTAATGGTTCCGCAGCCTACTTCATAAGCACAAGGGCCAGAGTTTGATCCCCGGTACCAAAAACAAAACAAAACAAAAACTGAGGTCTATCCATGGCCCAATGATAATAGGGTTTCAAAATCCCGGGAGAGCCAATATATTAACAATATTACCATAAATGAAACACATTTGATTTTTTTTTCTTTTAGGTGTCAAGTGTGAAAATATACTAAGATCAAAATTCTAGAGCATGTCTCCCCACTGATAAGTATAAATGTGTAAAATACACAGTTCGGGTTTGAAAATGGTAAAAAAAATTCCCAACGTAATTGCTCCAGAGTAAGAGCCAAGTACAGTTTGTTTTTTTTTTTTTACAATATTGGGGATGGCTGTGTTTGTGTGGGAAAGATGGCCACGGCTGTGTTTATCAGCCAATCTGGAGTTTGTAAATGGAAGCAAAATTGTGCCAAATACCTTTGTTTGTGAGTCAAGTTGTTTGCAAACAGAAGCATTTGTGAACCGAGGTATTACTGTAATGGTATTGACTCACTGAGGTCTGTATCTCTCTGCATGGGTCACAAAAGCTACAATCTTATTGCAAAATGGTGATTTGGCAGAGACAGCCTGAAAAATTTAACCCAAGTAAACTACACTTCAACATGAGTCTGACTGGGCCATCAGTCATTGCCTACGAATGGTGAGAAACTGAGATGTCTTGGCCAGCAGCTTGCAGCTCAGTCCACCAAGCTGATTTGTTATTTCTGTTTTTCCATCAGAGTGGTAGCTTTCTGAAAGAGAATATTTTCATTCATCTCTTTTGTTGTTGCTGTTCCTGGGATCGAACTTGGAGCCTTCTACTTGCGAGGCAAGGGGTGGAACCATTGAGGTAAATCCCTGGCCCTAAAAAACCATTTTTGAGAAACTTGCTCAGGTGAAATATATACAATACTTAATAAATTTTAATAAGTGACCATATTTGGTTTTGCATAAGCAGCAGGCAAAAATAAATAAATAAGGGCCAGGATTTAGCTCAGTGGTTCTGCTGCCTTCCTTGCAAGCACAAGGTCCTGAGTTCCCCAGTACCAAAAAAAAAAAAGATAAAAAACAGGAGTGAAGGCTTTCTTACACCTTTATATTAGAAAATAATTTGTGGAATATAGATACTTGATTTTCTTTTTTGGGGGGTTGTTTTTGTTTTTGTTTTTGTTTTTGAGAAAGGGTCTCACTATGTAGTTGAGACTGAACTGGAACTCACTCTGTAGCCCAGACTGGTCTCACACTCACAGGGATCCTCCTGCCTCAGCCTCCTGAGTGCTGGGATTACAGATATTTGATTTTCTAAGGTGTGTTTTTGGACAAGATCCTTCTTTATATTTTATTTATTTATTTATTTGTTAATTTTTGGTACCAGGGATTGAATTTGGGAACTTGTGTTTGGGAGGCAGGCAGTCATACCACTGAGCTAAATTCCTGGCAAGATCTTTCTTTAGTTATTACATGTGTAAGGTCTATATGTAACATGTACACTGTGATGGACTGAAATGCCATTGAAGGCCTTGTGACATTTTTACTTTTTTTGGTACTGGGAATCGAACTCAGGACCTTGCATTTGTGAGACAGGCATAATGCCACTGAGCTAAATGCTAAATCCTCAGCCCAGACATTTTTACTTTAGTATGGTTTCTTTCTAGTATGAATTCTCTAGTGTTTTTTAAGATGTGAATAATTGTTACAGGCTCTGCACAAGACTAAAAACTATAGATATTTACCTGATATAAATTTTATGGTATCTTCTAACTGAATTCTGGGGAAAGCTTTCCTACATTATTTATATTGGTGGGGTTTTGTCCAGTACAAATTATCTGGTGGTTGGCCCATTCCAAGCCCCAAATGTGCTGAATAAGTTTCTCTCTCTTTTTTTTTTTTTGAGACAGGGTCTCGCTTTGTAGTTCAGGCTGGCCCTGAACTATGTAGCCCAGGTTGACCTTGAATGCACTGCAATCCTCCTTCCTCAGCCTTGCAAGTGCTGGGATTACAGGTGTGTGCCACTGCTCCTGGCTAATAAATTTCTCTGGTAGCAGTTTTATTGGACCTCAGGAAAACCTACTGACCATGGCTTTCTTCCTGCAAAACAATTGTCCTGGGGGTGCATTGAAGGCCTCTTACCAGGACATAAGATGAAAGCATATAAATCACGTGTGTGTCAAGATAGGAACAGGTGCACAGCTACCACTGGCCTGGCAGGTCTTGGCCATGGGCCAGTGTTATGGTTTAAATCAAGAATGTCCCCCACGGAGCTCATGTGTTCAGATGTGAGGCTTCTGGCAGGTGCCTGGATTGTGAGTCTACAGCTGACTTGCTATTAGGAGGTGGGTCTTAGATACAGGAAGGTCACAGGATTTCGCCTAGAAAGTCATATCTTCCTCTGCAGGTCATTTCTACTCTCTGCTTCCTGACCAGCATGATGTGAGCTACTTCCTTCTGCTCAGACTTTCTTTTTGCCACTTCTGTCTTGACATTGGCCAATCAGGGACTGAAAATCTGAGCCAAAATAGACTCCTTTAATTGGCAGATGTCAGGCATTTTGTTCCAGTGATGGAGAAAGTAATGGGGACAGCAGGTGTGTTGCAGGGAGGTAGTTTTTTTGGTACCGGGGATTGAACTCGGGTCCTTGCGTTTGCAAGGCAGGTGGCAGAACCGCTGAGCTAAATCCCCGGCCCACAGGGAGGTAGTTCTATCCCCTAGATGCATGCAGAGGGAGGGGAGATGGAGTCAGGATTGCTGTTAGTGTTTGGGCTTAGAGTAGTTATAGGACAGGATCAGGGAGTTTCCAACCAAGGGGCACAATGGTTGTGAGTAGAAGCTCAGAGTGCTGCTCCTTCTGGGACTCTGCCACCAACTGTTGGGCACAAAGTTTGTGAGGGTCATAGTATCTCCTTGCCTGGCATGATCAGATGAATCTCCAGTTTATCCACTCAGCTTCTCTGTCTCCCTGACAACCAAGAACACCCCAAGATCTGCAGCCAGACAACAACAGGACAAATGATGAGGACCTGGGATCAAGGACTTGACTTACGTCCCCCTAGAGGTCCTGATCAGAACTTGTCTTCTGGCTCTGGCAGTCCTGGGCAGGCTCCAGCACACACACTGGAGAAATAAGGAAGGAGAAAAGTGTGGGATATGTCTCCTTTCAGGTACGTAATCCCTGAGGCCAGGGCCATGAGTGAACCACTAGTAGCAGGGTTCAGCATAGCCCAGGACGCTGTAGTTCCCTGGAGAGAACTGATTGCTGAGCAAAGCCAGGACAGGAAGACTCCAGTCAGGGTATAAATGGACATGGGAGTTACAGGGTTGAAATCTGGAGGGAAGAACTCACTAGACATCTTTAAACTAAGAAGGCAAAGGATTGGATGTGTATTGAGATGTCGCAGATATCCTGCGGGGCAAGGAGATTCTGCGGGGAAAACCAGGCTGTCAGTCTGTCTTGTTTTTGGTACCAGGGATTGAACTTGGGACCTTGCACTTGGGAGGCAGGCAGCAGTACCACTGAGCTAAATCCCTGGCCCTGTCAGTGTTTCTTGAGCCCAAAGTGACCACATCATGACTCACCTCGGCAGCCCTGACCCACACTGGCTGTCTGTGGCCTCCACAAGGCTTCAGTAAGGGGCAGTATGGATGTCCTGGGCCATCTTTTCTCTGTGGAGGTCCTGGTACTCATGCAAGTGTCATTCATCTCCAACTATAGCTGCCAGAGCACCCCTTGAGCTGTGCTGCCCTGCACTGATACCCTGCCTCTAGGGTAGCTGCTGCCCCATCTCCCTCAGAGGTCTGAGCAGTGCATCCTTGTGCTGTTGGGGGAGAGTAGATGTCACTCAGGAAACTCCTCACTTGCATCCACAATCCTAGGTGCAGCCTGGTGCTCCCCATGCCACACAGGTTGTACACCATGCTCATCGGCCTAGGGATCTAGCATTGAGTCTCCGCCTCCTGCTGCGTCTGGCACAGAGCCTCCTGATTTTCCTTGGTGGTGGTAGGTAGATCCACATACTGCCCACTAGAGGGGTACTGAGGAGGCAGTGGGCTGGGACGCAGAACACCTCCTTCTAGCTGTGTCTTCTCTTCCCAACATGCTTGAAACCCCACCCCCCCAAGATAACCTTGGATTTGCTCTACTCCTCTGCCTCCTGCAGTGGTCACAGGGATGCTCTCTTACTGCATATGGCTGATCCTCAGCACCCCATTCAGCTCTGGCTTCACTGTTATCTCTGCCTACTTCTGCTGCCTCTGCTAACTCTCCATGCTCTCCTGTACCTCTCCTAGCTCCTGATACCCAGGACAGGCATAGGGGGAGCCAAGGCAGAGCCTGCAGCATAGATCCCACTAGAACTGCCCAGTTTGTGTGTAGAAAAGAGAGGGAATGCTTGCATGAACCCAGGAGGGCACCAGGGAGTGAAAAGCTCACAGGAACTCATGCCTGAGCCCAGGTCCCAGCTAAACCAGCTGTCAAGTTCAGGATGCTGCTGTGGACCAGAGGGAGGTGCTGGGGTCAGAGTCAAACCAATCGTGGAGGGGGCTGTGTGTTGTCCTCTACCCAGTAAATATCACTTCTCATTCCAGGGGGACTCCTCTACTCCACCCACTAATCTCCAAAAAGCCAGGTTATCCCCAACCTTCAAAGCCTCTTCTGATACCCAGGTCCATTCAGTTCTCCTGCAGCCAGTTGAAGAACTCAATTTCACCCTCCAGGGACTCAGTCATGGGATCTAGTTCCAGACAGGGAGGGGTGGTGTCATCCACAGCCTTTGTGAGTGCAAGTGGGAGATCAAGAGAAGGAAGTAGAGCCAGGGATTTAGCTCAGTGGTGCCACCACCCGCCTCACAAGTGCAAGGTTTCGAGTTCCGTCCCCAGTGCAAAAAAAAAAAAAAAAAAGAGGCACCTGGTTTTATCTCTCTGCGCCAACTGATGCCACCTTGCATGTGCAGGCTTAGGTAGCACTGGAAAGCAGGAGTCTATGTGGGGCCTGACTTGTCCTCCAGAAGAGCAGGAGGCTGTGCTCTGCATCTTTCCACTTGCACAACTCCTCCTACCTGAAGGGTGAGGTGCAGAGCATGACCTGTGGGGTCGCAGCCTGGTCCTTCTCTAGACGGTGTCCCTTGGGATCTGCTATCGCTACTGCTCAGGATTCTGAAGGGAGGGCTTCAGGCTGCCTGGTGGAATTGCCCTGACTTTCTCATAATGGTCTGGAATCTGAGAAGGGTTCACATTAGTACCCACGGTAGGCAAGGGACAGACACCCTTGCTGCATCTCCTCAGATACACAAAGCAGAGCTCTGGCAAGGGAGTGTGGAGCTCAAGGTGAGGCTTCTGTCTGCATATGCTAGGGATGCAATGGGGCAACACTGGGCTCCTGGAAAGGAGGGGAGGTGCAGCAACCATTTGAAGAACCCCAGCTGAGGCCCCGCCTTGCTCCCTGGCCTTTGATTGGGCAGCATGAGGCAGGTACTGTGTCAGTCAGTCACACTCCACCTGAACCCAGTCTCACTCATGACCCAGTTGTTCTAACTCCCACAGCAGCTTGAGCATCTCCTGGTGCCACAGATGTCCTGTGCTCAGGGTCCTCAGCCCCAAGTTTATCTTCTCGCGTACTTGCCTCACTCAGACACATTGTTTACCTTTTGTTCAGGTGAAAAGAGGCTAAGAAAAAAACCTTAATTATTAACTACTACACCTAACCAGAGACTCTGGAT